AAATCAAGCTAACAAGAATGGACACACACGCTTTCCCCAGTTCCCTGAGGAAGACCCTCAGGCGGTGCGCCAGGCTCACATGGATAAATGCAGGGTCTAAGGCAGGTATGGTACATGGCACATGCATATAATCCCAACCACTTGAGGAACTGAGTTCGAAGCCACTCTGGGACAATTTAGCAAGACACTGTCTCAAAAAGAAAAAAAATTGTGTATAGTAGGAATGCCAGGGATGTAGCTCAGTGGCACAACACTTTCCTACCATACACAAGGCCCTGGCTTCCATCCCCAGTACTAGGAAAACAAAACATAGTCTAGAGGCAGGAGCAAACAGTGCAGCAGGCATCCCAGAGCAGAGCAGGCCCCACAAGGGGCAGGAACATAGACCAGCGAAGCCCATGAAGTATCTGCCTGCCAAGGAAGGAAGCAGCTAAGCGTCTGGGAACACAGCCAGCCTCAGAAGAGAGGCCAAAGGTCAGGGTGCATGGGAAGCCAGGTGAGGTGTTGCTACCCTCACCGTAAAGTCCGATGTCTCTATACTGCCCAGCGTGGGGCCCTTTTCCACCATGAAGCTGAGGAGCCCAGTCAGGATGGTGGAGACGGACCAGGCTGGGTTCCACGTGTCAGGGTGGAAGTCCGTGATGGAGAGACACAGCCTGCAGGAAAAGGGTTCAGTGAACAAGAGTGCACACCCCTCGGCCACCCCATGGCCCAGGCTGGCAGAGCACCACAGCACCAGGAAGCTTACCTCGTATTGCACTTAAACCTTCCATTAGGCGTTATCATGTAAATACTAGGAGGCTTAAAAGGAAATTCTCTGGGGAAAATCAGCTTTCCATGATAATAGCCACCTGCACCAAAACAGAAAGGAAAGTTGTGTCACCCACTGTGAGATAGGTTGGTTCTGGTCTCAACCCCTCATCCACAACTCTCTCCAACTGGCTTCCACCACTGCAGCTCCACAGCCCCCTCTGCCCACTACTGACCCAACTCTCCCGTGCCCCTCATCTCTTGATGTCCCTAAACACCCCAGCAGCTCAAGACCACCTCACCCTGCCACAACATACCCCTTTCCTCTCCTGGATCATTGTGTTCCGGTGCTCCAAAACCTGCAGGTGCTCAGATACCCAACACTGTTAGGGCTCAGGAGCTGTGTGCAGCTGAGCCCATTTCCCCTCCCCAGGGACTTCCTGGCTCCCACAGTGCCCATTTCTTCACTGTACCCAGAGGCCAGCACACCCCAAGCCTGAAACAAAGCCACACCAGACCTTATGTCCCTCCAACTTCTGCCAACTGCTCCTTCACCTCCTGTAACATCCCTGTAACTCTGTTCACAGTGGTTCTCCCCAAGGTTCCAGCCCAAGTCTATCTACTTAGGTTTGGGCCCTTACCACAGTCCACATCCACGGTCTAAGCCTGACCTTGACGCCACCTACATGTCCTCTGATGGGCTCTGACCGTACCTCAGCAGTGTGACCTTTCCAGGGAGGTCTCACAGAGCCCATGCCCATCTTTGGCTGCCCTCAGACATCCTGTGATGGCTCTGTAGCCAGCACTTCAACCCCAGGCCTTGGGATCTCATCTTTCAGACTCTAGATCAATACAATGACCACTTACGCCACACTGCCCTAGTCACACACATCCAGGATGGAACTCCTGTTATTTTCCAGCAGCTACACTCAGTCCTTCAGATTAAAACTTGGGAGGCCCCACACAGCCCCTATCATACCCACTTGGCAATCGTGTTGGCCAAACCAACTCTGAGGCCTGCCTGCGATCTCTCTCTCAAAGGGATGTCAGGACAGCCCTGCCCTGCTCCAGGACTTGCACCCTGGCTGCTCAGGCTGTACCCAGGAGTCAGCTGGAAAGGGAGAACTGAGCAGAACACAACACTGGACAGGACTCCCTGGCCCTGTGTATCAGCACAGCTGTGCATGTGTGCTGTGTGTGTATACTGGCCTGTCCCCCAACCCCAGCTCTCACTCTTTCTCCTAAGCACCCGGGGCATGAACCTGCCTGGAATCCTTAGTCCCAGAATCTATGTCAGGTGCAGTACTCCCACCTGAGGGCTGCTTAGAATCAGGGCTAGGGACAAGTTCCTGAGAACAAGTTTCCTCTGCTACAGGAACAGCACTCAAGGACACACAGAAATAGCTATGTAGTCAACAGTGTGGCTCAATGGAAAGGAGGCATTGCACCCAGGCCACACGCATGCTCAAGACCCTCAAGAGAAGCCAAGTCAGAAAATGAGCAAACACTATAAACAAGCACTTTTCCAAAGAGGAAGCACAAACACCCAACATGCATTTGAAACTACTCTCCCCTCAGTGCCAATCAGGAATTAGTGTAACTTCAACAGCAAGACAGGCCATTTCTGGCCTAGCAGAGGTTAGTGGAGAGGAGGTATTGTCCTGTCTCACTGTGTGTACGTCCCTGCCAGGGGAACCCTCATGCCTCACTGTCCACCGAGGGCACTGAGAACCACACAACATGGATGTTCGCAGCATCAGCAGTGTCTGCACAGGTGAAAAATGGCAACACTCACTTGCCTTTCAAAGGGAAGGGTCAGATGAACAAACAGGAGGAGCAGGAATACATGACACACAACTTATTGGGAACTAAACAAAACAAAACCCAGTAGGCTGTAGCAACACACACATTGAACTACTTACACTTAAAAAACACAGAATTACACTGTGACAAAGACATGCCTTTAATATTTATTTCTTTTTGTTTGTTTTTGTTTGTTTGTTTGTTTGTTTTTTCCAGTACCAGGAATCGAACTCACGACCTTGCACTTGCCAGGCAGGCGCTGTGCCGCTGAGCTAAATCCCCAGCCCCTTAATATTTATTTCATTTGAAAATGAATGAGGCCACCTGGGTGCTGGGATTATAGGCATGCACCACCACGCCTAGCTGACACATATTTTAGACTGCGGGGATCAAATTCTGAGGTGACATTCAGCATTCAAAGGAGTCCCAAGAGGCCTCATGCCAAGAGTGAGGAAGAGCAAGAGGGGCACTGGCAACAGGTCAAACAAAGCCAGAAGCTCTCTCGGAAGTCACAGTAAGGTTCCTGCCAGGGATACAACTCCGGTCTGCAAACGCTTCTTTACCATCCAGGCTTCCCTGGAGCACAAGAAAACAGACGGTGACTCTGCCACAGCACAGCCCTGCACAGCCTGGAGAAGAAAACCAGAGATGGACCTGGTGAGCACATCTGTAATCCCAGGACTAGGGAGGCAGGGGGATAGCCTTGAGTTTGAGACCAGCCTGGGCTACACACAGAGTTTAAGGCCAGCCTGAACTATATAACTAACACCATATTTCAGAAAATCCCAAATAACCCCGGAGAGTAACCTGCTCAGGACCCTGACAGCATCATGGCTGCCTGGAGCTCCAGACTTCCCAAGGGTTCCACACCTTGCTCAGCGTCAGCTAGCTGTATTCTGTGCTCTATACTCTGCTCCACCTAGATCTCCTTGTTTCAGTTCAGATAAAAAATGTCCCCCAGTTCAGATAAAAAATGTCCCCCAAAAGCCTCATGCATTCAGAACTGGGGCTCTTGGAAGGTGTGTGATTATGCGGCACCTCGGAGCTGCATGTGCTGTAGGAGGAGGGGCCTGGATTTGGGGTCACTGGGGCACGACCCGGAAGGCTATGTTTTTGCCCAGCCCTACCCTCTTGGCTTCCTGCCTGTCATGGATTGAGCTGGATTTCCTCAGCCATGCCACCTACCATGCTGTTTCTACCCTGGAGCCAACTGAGCATGGACTAAAACCCTCTGAAACCATAAGCCAAATAAACTCCCCCCTAAATTTTTGAGTGCTGGGTATTTTGTGCCAGTGACAGGAAAGTGACTGATACACTCCTGCATCACCACCACTGGAACCACATAGTAAATATGGAAACCAGCAACTCTTCCACATAACTCTTTTTTTTTTTTTTTTTAGTTTTTTTTTTTTTTTTTTTTTTTGGTTTTTCTCCGGTACCAGGAACCGAACTCACGACCTTGCGCTTGCCAGGCAAGCGCTTTTGCCGCTGAGCTAAATCCCCAGCCCCTCTTCCACATAACTCTTATTTTAAGAAATTACTTTCAGCTATTCTAAGTCCTTTGCCTTTTCAGATAAATTTAGAGTAAGATTGAGTATGTCTAGAGCTTTGCTGGGATTTGATAGGACTGCTAAATCTTTGGCAACACTGTCCTGAAAGCCAGTGTGGGGCTGTCAGGACAGGGTCGCCTGAACACTCCAGGAGCAGGAATGTAGGGATGCGGAGCTGCAGCAGATCTACCAGCAAGGCAGGAGGGTGGGTCAGAACATCCATTGTCAAAGCAGGAGAATTTCAGGAGGGCACCAGTTGCCAACGGCATCAGACCCCAGGGTCCAGAAACAGGACTGAGAACAGCCTCATGGCCGTGGCAATCCAGAGGGGTCCCCTGAGAGTGGTACCAGCAGACAATGAGGCTGTAGCTGACAAAGACTCAACACACTGGCAGCCTGAGGGACAGGACCACAGACACCACACAAGGTGAGGACAGGCACAGGGGATGGGTAGAGCCTCAGAACAAGGGGGGGGGGAGGGCGCAGCACAGGACAAGACAAAAGGACGAGCGACAGGGTTATGGCTGGCAGGAGGAGGCTGCTCCCCAGGCCCCATTCTGTAGACCCCCTCGGGGCTGCCCTCCCTTCTGCCAGCTGTGTCCGGCTCTTCCCCAGCAACAGCTCTGGCTAGTCCTATGGAGAGGGGTGGTGTCTGGTGACAAAATAAATGTTCAGTATTAATTTAAAAAATTAAAAAAAATAATAAAACAGTAGAATCCCACTTGTCTGAGACAACTACTACTACTCATTTTTAGCATATATTTGTCAAGCTTGGTAAAAATACATGCAAATTTAGTCAGGATTTGGATGTTATTTGCACCAAATACTTCAAAGCCTGTCTTGCACAGCATTCTAGGAACTCATCCGCCAGAACCCCTCACAACACAGAAGCTGTACACACCTCCCTCATGTCACCCAAACCCTGCTGAGGGCTCCCATCACAGCAACCTCCAGTGTCTGTCACTGTCACCATGTCACCCTAACACCCCACCCTGTGGATATCCTGAAGACTTGCCTCCAGGATGGATCAGCCCAGAGCTAGGATAGCTGGGCCAAGGGAACGTTCCCAGGAAGCCAGCAAGACACCAGCCCAACTATTCAAGAAAGCATGGCCATTCTACTCCCAGCCACCCACAACTCTCCCCTGACTACCTAAAGCAGTGGTCTGCTTCTTTCCTTCCTTCCTTTCCAGCCCCACCCTCTTCCTTTGTGCTGGAAATCAAACCCAGGGTCTCAGGCCAGGGATATAGCTCAGTGGCACAAGCGCCCACCTGGCAAGCGCACGGTCCTGAGTTCAATTCCTGGTACCAAAAACAAACAAACAAAAAATCCAGGGCCTCCTACTGAACTATACACCAATCGTTCCCAGACTCAAGTACCTCTCCTGCTGAAGTCTTTTCTTTCCCCCAGACGAAAGTTTCACCATGTAGCCCAGGATAGCCTCAAACTCCCAATCCTCTCGCCTCAGCCTTCTGAGCACGAACTACAGAAGTGCACTACCACACCCAGCTTTCTAATAAAGTCTTCACAAAAACTTTACCATGGACAAAAGCCTGCTATTCTGGCCATCCAAACTCAGCTCCGGTGTCTGGGGAGCCAATGAGCTACTCACATGGCCAGCACTGTGCCCTGGGCTGGCCGTGGGCCCTGGCTGCATTACTGACCTGGTCCAAACTCTGCATTCCTACAGGCCCCTAGACATTTGCTGGCTGCTGAGGCCAATCTTGCAAAGGACATCAAGAACGCTAGACTGTATCTAGTGACCTGAGGGGTCAGGCCACCAGGTCAGTCCTGGCAGAAGTTAACAGACCCACAGAACCAGGCAGGCCCTGTACCTTCCATTCACACAAGGGGCCTCCCCTTCGCTCAGATTGCTCTGAGGATCACAGGACACTGAAAGTGCCCTGCATGAATGAGGGCTTCATGGAGATATTCCCACTAATCTTACAATCAGTAGAAGAATATGGCTACATTTTACTATTTATCGCAATTCTTTTCCTGGTTCTAACTGATGCCAGAAGAACACAGATATTTACATTTAGACACACCAGTGAAACCAAACTGCACTGTAAGTTCCAAATAAGTTCAATTTAACCACTGCATGTGTGAAACAGGAAGGCTGTTACTCTCTAATAAATGTTTAACAGCAAAGTCTATATAGAGTATGTTCTACTCACCTTCATAAGGGGTCATCTCAGGGCCTCGGACAACATAGTGCCTAATGGAGAGAAGAAAGTTACTTGAATGTGGGTACTGTAAATTCTCTAAAACCAGAACCACTCCAAGACTGGAGTTTGCCAGAGCAGTCAGGACCATATTCATAGCAAGTGATGAGATGCAGACCACATGCCCAGGGCAGTGCCAGGCGTGGGCTCCTGTCCCACAGGTGTGGGGCACTTCACAGCGGCATCCCAGAAATGTGGGGTGCACATTCTACACTGCCACAAAGTGCTTTTGCTCCCACAACACAACATACAAGAAGTTCATCTCTAACCATTAACATATACTTTCTTTAAAATTTCAAAATACAGCCAGGCGTGGCGGCGCACACCTGTAATCCCAGCACTTGGGAGGCTGAGGCAGGAGGATCTTTGTGAATTGCAGACCAGCCTGGGCTACAAAGTGAGCTCAAGGCCAGCCTGAACTGCATAGCAAGATCCTGTCTCAAAAAGACCAAAAAAAAAAACAAAAAACAAACAAGAAAAACCATCAAGATATATTTTAACACATATGTAAAAATGTATAACTTCTATTTTTTTGTATCATGCACATAAGCTAGACAGGGAACAGCTAGTGATGTGGAGCTGTTCCTGTGTGTTACCTCCTGCCACATAGATGTTCATGCAAGAAACAGAAATACTTCCAGAACACAAGGAACGGGGACAACTTGTAACTCACTCTCCCCAAAGCCAAGGTCCTCACACAAAATTCCACCACAGATCAGAAGCAGGACCAAAGATACTACATAGTCCCCTCGTAATGAACAAGGTGGTAGCTTTAGGTAAGCAGAACGGTGCTTGGGCTTCACAGATTCTCAAACAAAACAGACGAGCACAGAACAGATAAGATTTGGCAGAAATGCCAGCAACTACAAGTGCCTGATACCACTTTTCCAGAGACCTCCTCCCACCAGGACACACATGTACATGGTTTTGACAGAAACAGGATCATGAAACCTATGCCAGCTGCCAAGCTGCCCAGATCAAGAAGAACTGGTCCCAGGATCAGTCCCAGGTCAAGGCCATCAAACCTTGAGAGGGCTGGGGGTTTAGCTCAGTGGCACAGCACCTGCCTGGCAAGCGTGAGGTCGTGAGTTCAATTCCCTGTACGGGAAAGAAAAAACCAAAAACCTTGAGGACGCTCACTCAAGGCCCTTATAGAAAATGGAGTAGTGTTTGCACAGAACCCACAAACATCCTCTCTCACACTTTATATCATCTCTGGACTACTTACAATACCTAACACAATGAAAATAACATATGAAGAGTTATACATGTAGTTTACGGAATAATGACAGAAAAAAAAGCCTCTGTATGTTCAATATAGACATGACTTCTTCACCTGAGTATTTCCAATCTATTCTTGGTTGAACCCAAGAATTAACAGATATAGAGGACCAGTTGTACTAAAAAATATTGTTGCCAGGCATGGTGGCAAATGCCTGTAATCCCAGCACTCAGGAGGCTGAGGCAGGAGGATCACCATGGGGACCCCTTGACCCACAGATGCACACACAGGCTACAAAGTGAGCTCAAGGCCAGCCTGAACTGCATAGTGAGACCCTGTCTCAAAAAAGACTAAAAAAAAAAGAAACAAAAAAAAAACACAGGGGGCTGGGGATTTAGCTCAGCGGCAAAAGCGCCTGCCTGGCAAGCGCAAGGTCGTGAGTTCGGTTCCCAGTACCGGAGAAAAACCAAAAAACAAACGAACAAACAAAAAAAAAAACACACAAACCCACAAAAAAAATATTGTTGCCCTAAGTGTGTCAGAGGACCACGAACAACCAAGTATCTTAGACCACACACACAGCACAACAGAGCTGGTCTCATGTGCTCCTGCTCCAGTCACTGTGTCCGCTCTGAGAAAACCAGGAAGAGACAGGGAGCACAGCCCTTCCTGATACAACCAGCAGCCTGAGTCACAGACTCAGGCTCAATGCACTGGGAAGCCAGATCATCTGCAGTCCCCACCCAGCTCTCACAGCTCCTGTCCAGCAAAGCTCGATTCTTCTCTCTCAGCCACAAGAGACAGCCCCATGGGCAGCACAGAGTTCCCACACAGACCCAGCACTACAATCCTGGCTCAGCTCTACCACCCCGACCAGTAAGGCAGGCAGAGATATTTTGCTTCATGCTGAACCACACTCTCCTTCTGAAGACTAGAATTCCAGTGGGTGCCAGGCCGAGAGCTGCCTACGTAACCAGCCCCCTTGCAATATATCAGGTTCCCTCCCAATAAAAGCCTGGGTGCCAGGTGCTCTGGTGGACATTTCATACTCTTTATCCCAACTTGTTGCTGGAGAATTAAGGGTGCTCGTATGTGAACGCCCCATACAAGGGACCTGGAAGCCTATGTCTCCCTCCTGTGGAACTGGCACCATACGCCTCTTACCCTGCTGATTTCGACCTCCTTTCAAGATCAAAATAAAACTTTTTTTTTTTTTTTTTTTTTTGGTTTTTTGGTTTTTTTTCTGGTACTGGGAATCAAACTCATGACCTTGCACTTGCCAGGCAGGTACTGTGCCGCTGAGCTAAATCCCCAGCCCCCAAAATAAAACATTTATCAGAGAACAACTTTTGAGTATCTCGACCTTGAATTTCACTTTGCATAATAAATGTTATCAGTGAGTCCTCCTAGCATATGGATGAACCTGAGGTGGTCTTGGGGACCCCTTGACCCACAGATGCACACACAGGGAGGGGTTCACACTGCTCAAGGAAGAGGTTACCCACCCAGCAAATCTGCCCTCACATCTGCCAACTCTGTCCTGAGGGCCATGTCTGACCTTCATCCTCAGGAGCAGGCAGAACCCAGTGCCACCCCTGGAACCCTCCACCTGTCTAGGCTGAGCTCCCTCTGTAAACCTCTGTCCTGAGAAGAGGAGCCCCAGCCAGGCTGCAAAATACTTGTTAACTCTGTTAAACCCCTTTTCTCTAGATTTGAATAAATTAAAAAATATCTTTTAAGAGCAAAATAAAACATTTATCAGAGAACACTTTTGAGTATTTTGCCCTTGTATTTCATTCTGCATAAAATCATCTGCATAGTGTACAATTAGCATTTCCAAAGAGGTATGTATGCTTTTTAAACTCCATACATTATTTATTTTGCTTAAAATGGTTATTTTTGTTACATAAATTTCACATCAATAAAAAATATATACCACAAGGAAAAATGGAAATGAGATGTGTCAACTAAAATCAAAAAACCAAAACAAAATGTAAACCAACAAAAAAAAAAAAAAAAAAAAGAAAGAAAAGCAAATACCACATTTAAAAATTGTCTTCAAGGCAGTTGGGGAGGAAACCAGCCATTTTTTTTTTTTTTTTTTTTCAGAGATAGGGTCTTGCTATGCAGTTGAGGCTGACCTTAAACTCACGGCAATCCTCCTGCCTCAGCCTCTGGAGTGCTGGGATTACAGGCATGCGCCACCACGCCTGGCAACACACACCTGGTATAGCTGTTCTCAAGATCCTACACATCCATATAATATGGTCTCAACCAGTGAGCCACAATTCTCAACAGTCCTACCTGCCAAATGGACAGGCCCTACAAGGTTGGGTCCTAAACATCTAACGCAAAGACTAGCATTCTAGTTACCTGGTATTTTCACTTTCCTGGCAATTTCATCTCAAATCAGGGTCTATGGGTTACAGGGCCATATTTATGAACCAAAATTTAGGACACATACCCTGAAGTTCCATGTATACTCTCAGGGACAATGGCTTATGCTTAAAAAAAAACTAGGATAGCTGGCTGTTCAAACTACAGCTCTCCCAATGAATTCAGCCCTACAGGGTCTTTTTTGGAGGGGATGGGTGCGGTTTTCTCCAGTACCAGAAATCAAACTCACAACCTTGTGCTTGCCAGGCAGGTGCTGTGCCACTGAGCTAAATCCCCATACCCTTCTACAGATTTTTTACACAAAAAAATATTAACAGCAGCCAGGGATGTAGCTGTGCAAGGCCCTGTGTCTAATTCCCAGTACCAAAAAACCCCCCCAAATTAACAGCAAAACTTCATCAGATTACACTTTAAAAGCACAGTTCATTTTCAAATCAACTGGGCAGGTGTAAGAGACTTCAGGGACTCCCCGCTCCTGGGAGCACTGAGACGTCACCTCTGGGATTTGTCTCGGCTTCCACTTCTGGGACTCTCCCCTTCAAAATGCCCACTGTGCTGGCTAGAATGCGTCTGGGCTTTGCTCTCTGTCTGATCCCTGCTCTTGTCTTCTCTCATTTCTTCCTCTTGAGAAGGTGTAATTATGCTTGAGTTTCTCCATCCTGGAGTCCCTTTCTGGGTCCTCTGCTCCATCACAGCAGGAAGCCCTGTGCTTAGTGGAGCTTGGGTGGTGCTTCCTCCCTACTCCCGACGGGTTTCTGAGCCTCTCTGAGTGCCTGTTGCTGTGCTTCTTAGGACCAGGGTCATCCTTTTCCTTTACCAACTTGCTTCTGGGTGGTGAGAAGCACCATGACTGCTCTGACTGTACCTCCTGGTCAGTCTTCGCTTTGTCTTTTTTCCTTTTTTCCTGTTTTTTGTATTTTTCTGTGGATTTGTCATCTTCAGAACTCGCAGAGGAACCCGGTGCAGGGGATGTCACCTCCAGTTCTTATCCTGAAACTGTGTGGTCATATCATCCATTTCATTTGAGTCCTTAGGAGCCTGATAGACACAGGATCCATGTAGATGGCTCTTCCTGTGATCTTAATTCCATTAAAAGTCTCAAAGGCCAGAATTATGCTCCTCTAGTCTTCTTAGCACAGGAAACAGAATCCTTTGGATTTCTCAGTGTTCTTGTGTCACATAAAATTACTGTTAACAATCTCCTTGTATTCTGAGAACGCACAGATGATGTGCCCTTCACTCAGCTCATAAGGAAGTCTTCCTAGAATGATCCAAGCAATGGGCCGAGGATATAGCTCAGCAGCACAAGCGCCTGCCTGGTAAGCACAAGGTCCTGAGTTCAATTTCCAGTAACACCCCAACACACAAAAAAACTAGCATGATCCAGGCACTATCCTTGTACTCAGAATGCCAGGATACCTTTCCCAATCTGGACCTCTCACTCATTCAGCTCATTAATCAGCATCACCTTAAAGGGTTCATTTTCATGGGCTCACGCCTGGCACCAAGACGTCAGCTTCCGATCTAGGCTATGCAGAACCGGCCTCTTTTATTTTTTTGTGAAAGAGTCTTGCCAAGTAATTCGGGCTGCCTTGAATTCACTATGTAGCTCAGGCTGGCCTTGAACTAATGGCGATTCTCCTGCCTCAACTTCCAAGTAATGGGACTACAGGTGTGCACCATCACACCTGGCTTAACTCTACACTTTAACACAGCAAAAAGCTATCATGAAATGAATGTTTTCCACAGGCCTTTTTGCTATCAACCTGAGAGGTGGAGTATCTGGCCTGAGCCATGCCAGGAGCTGCGGTGTCAGGAGCCTGCCACAATGTGCTCAGGCAAGACAGGGTAATGCCCACTGTCCAGAAGCAAAGTGCACAGGAGCTTAGATATGCAGAGTCTCATCTCAGTACCGACCTGCAAAATGTGCATCCTACAAAATGTATGCGAAAAATAGCCATAAGCCCTATACATCCCAAAACTACTTTAAGGACACCCAGGAAAAAGTCTCTTTCTAGCCCCAGCCTAAGTCAAGCAGGACTCTATAGTGTCCTAGGTGTGCCACTGTGAGGATCACAGACCTCTCAGTGCCTACCTACAGCTGAGGAGCTGCATGACCATGACTGCCCCCCAGCATCAAGACCAGGAACACCAGACCAGGTCAGCATAGCAAGAGCGGGTACAGGAGCAAGCAGTGGAGAGCCTTACCATTCAAGGATGTTTGAAGGGAGGGGTTCAGCACAGATGTAAGGCACTGGGTCTTTCTTAATCCGAAGGTAGTCCTGCTTCAGTCTCTGGGTTGCTGTTGTCGGAGCTCTCTTGTTGCTGTTGCTGCTCATCTATGGAAAACAAGCATTTCTATTTACAAAGAACAGAGGATGCACACACATCTCTTTTCTTACCCACAGCCAGAGATGGCAGTCAGGCACCTCTGCTTCCCTCACTGCTGCCTAGGGTTCATCTGGGCCTTTGCCTCACTCTCTTTTTCCATCTACCCTCACCCTCGTTTATGCCATGTTATTCAGTACCTACCACAAATGCAAAGATGAAAATAAGCAGGAAGCCTCACTCCTGTCTTCAAGGGACGTGCATGTATCAACACAACTAACATAATCGGTCATCGTTTGCTGGAGCCGGCCTGGACCAGCCCCAAAGAGCAACCGTGCACATCTCCTGTGGACTTGATGGGATATTTATACCATGGAAATCAGCAAGCATCACAGACCAGTCCTGTTCTCACCACCTTTGTCCCAGAAGCCTGGTCCACACTTACTACTCGTCACCAGTGACGGCAGAAGGGACAAGAGAAGCCCTAAGGCTGGAGAGATGGAGACCCTCAGGATAGCCCAAGGCACTCACCATGCAGGGGGAAAAGGCATGCCTAGGAACAGCACTAGTAACTATCACAAAAATCCAAGTACAGTCAAGGTGAGGGAGAAGACTGGCCAGAGAGACAAGACCAAGCTGCCAAGCAGTGCCCAAAAGGGCTTGAGGACCCACCCTCCAAGCAAATTGGATCTTCTGTTACTAAGTCACCCTGCCTATAATCAGGAGGCTGAGGCAGGAGGATCACCACCAGGCCAGTGTGGGCTACACAGTGAGTTCAAGGCCAGCCTGAATTATAGAGTGAGACCCTGTTTCAAAAAACGAAGAAAGAAAAAGAAGACACCCTAGGACTTGCACAGGACATACAGTACAGCATCAAGGGCTCTGTGTGAGGGATGAGACCACACTATCATTCAAGAGAAGAGCCTGAAAAGAAAAAAAAATTTGGATGGGGGACCCTGGGACCCTTGGCCATGCTCTAGAGGCTGAAGAGGTAATGAATGGGGTCACAGGGATCCCTTCTGACACAGATATTGGATCAGCTCCTACTTGTTCTCTTTATCATACCAGAATTTCTCATAATTTAAGAAAGATAAAAAGACTTCTGCAGCTAAAAGTAAAGTGTGAAAAACACTGGTCTAAAATATAACAGAGGGGCTGGGGATATAGCTCAGCGGCACAGCACCTGCCTGCCAAGCGCAAGGTCATGAGTTTGATTCCCAGTACCCAATCAATCAATCAATAAAACAGAGAAAGGGGACACAGAATACACAGGACAGGAAGAAAAGAAGAACAGATGAGTTTGGCTAGAACACAAAAAGCAGGTCTTGGGCAGTCAGGGAGAGCCGGCCACATCCTGTGAAACCCCAGCTCAGACCTGTTCATGGAAGGCTCTTCCTTCTGCCTCCAACATTCTGCCACTCTGTCCCCAAAGCATCTCACCCGGTATTCTCTGGCCAAATGCTTTAGACAGAAAGGTCACAAATTTGAGTCTGAGCAACTTAGCAAGATCCTATCTCAAAATTAAAAAGGTGGGCATGGTGGCACACATCTGCAATCTCAGCACTCAGGAAGCTGAGGCAGGAGGCCAGCTGTGAGTCCAAGGCCAGCCTGGGCTACCTACTTGTTTTAAGGACAACCTGGTGAAACTCTGTCTCAAAACAAAACCAAACAAAAATCCAAAAACAAAGAGTTGGGAAAAATAAAAATAAAAAAAACCACAACAAAATAAAGAGTTGGGGATGTATCTCAGCACTCCCTGAGTCCGACCAATCCCCAATCTCACAGGTGTCCACATATACACTAATAATGACAGCCCTAGACATCAGTAACAGCCAGTGAGCTCCATCCTGACCTCTGATCAGTACTAAGTCAACTCCACCCCAACCTTGGGGCCTTTACACATGGTTTCCTGCAGAGTCACACACTTCTTCACAGATGTGTGTGTATGCATGTGCATCATCACATCTGAGAGGTCTCCAGCCTCTCAACCTCTTTAATATGGTTTATTTCTGTACAGAGCACCATCAGCATGGACTGCTGTCTGCTTCCCCTACCAGTGTTGTTGCCTGGTGAAGACCAGGGCTTGGTGTGTGCTCACTCTAACCCAGGGCCTGTGAAGGGGCTCAGCAGGGCCACCTACTGTGGTCCTCCCATAGTCATGGTCTCAGCACCACACCCACTCCTGCTTCTCACTGGGAGCTCCTGATCCTTGAGATCCTTATTCACTTCCTTCCCATTCTCATTACACTACCCTCATTCTGGACCTCATGCTTTCTGTCAACCACAACAGCTCCCAGGCTCTTCCCATTTCAGCCTATGTGGGACATTTAATGCAGTTTGATCATCTACTCCCCTCAAAAGTCTGTCAGGACCACCCCACAGCCAAGCAGTAATGTTATCAGCTTCCCTACTGGCCAAGTCCTCAAAGCAGCCCCAACCAGCCCTCCTAGTTTCCAAGGCCCCTTACACAGCCCACTCTGTGTGTCCTTTCCCATAGCCACCACATTCCCAGCCCATCTCACTGCCCTTACAGGCTCTTCCCTACCTAGCTTGGGCTGCATTCCTGCGAAGCCTCCCAATTTCCCCAGTCAAATTCTCTCTCTGTCCTTCACTGCCCATGCAGCCCAACACCACACCACATTGGAGCCTCTCAGGCCTCAACTGAGAAAAGGGCAGACTCCTTTGCTTGGCCCACACCAAAAGCGCCTGCACAGAAGCACAGTTACAATCTTGCCACCGGGAAAGGGAGTGCTTCTACATAGCACTGCCCCCAACCTCTTATGATAAGCTATGCAGGCCAGAAAGCTCAATTCAGGCCAACACCTACTAAAAAAACACATAGCATCTGAAGATCCCATAAGCAGAATCATAACACAAAGCCAGTTTCTTCTCACCCAGGCATGGTGGTACACCTGTAATCCCGGCACTCAGGATGCTGAGGGAGGAGGATCACCTTGAGTTCAAGGCCAGCCTGGACTACATAGCAAGACCCTGTCTCAAAAAACCAAAAAATTAGTTCTTTCTCTTAAATGTTCACTCCTATGGTTGGCACCCATCATGTGAAAAATAATTCACTGGATAACTCAAAGGCAACTGTGTCCAGCCTCAGCTACGTGGCTGGGTTGGCTGCTTAATGAAAGTTAGTGGACAACCACATAAAACAATACAATGAGTCCTGTCTACTCAGTCACAAGGCAAACATCTCCATCACATTTTTTTTTTTTTTTTTGCAGTGCTGTGGGTGGAACCCAGGACCTCACACATGCAAGGCAAGCACACTACCACTGAGCTACACTTCCAGAGCCACACTTGTTCTTTGATACACAATCTTTTAAGCCATATCTATAACTCAACTACTCTGTTTCCCCAACTATCGCTCCTTTGCCTCACTCAGAACCTGCTCTCATGTTTGTCCCTGGGGACTGCTTCTCTAATTCTCCCTACCGAATGTGACAGCAGGAAAGACAGGAGGAAAAGCCTTGGAGGAATCAAAATGCCAAATAGTAAGAAGCATAGTCCCTCAGGTTCACTCCCAACCAAGTCCCTACAGACAGAGTACACAGGTATGTTGTAAGGAAGAACAGTGTAGACAGGCAAAAAAGAAAACAAAACATGGCACAGGTAAAAGTTAACACATAGAAATTGACACAAAGCAGCCTGCAACACCACAAAGGGCACAAGTCTCTCCAGTCCCACGTCAGCGTGCCAAGGTGGTGACTTTTCAGCCATTTCCCCCATTCCTTCCTCGCTGGACACCTCTCTCTCACCAGTGCATATAACTCAGGTGATGTAGTGACATGAGACCTGGCCCTGACTGATCAGATGGGCATGTGACACACCCAGGCTCAGGACTTCCTCCGAAGTCTCTCCTCCAGGATTGCTCCACAACTGGAAGGAAGCCAGGGCTAACAGGGGCAGCCCCACCACCATGCTCTCTCTCTCACACACACACCTGCCTGCCTGCCTGTCTCTCTCTCTCACACACACACACACCTGCCTGAAAGTGAAGCTGCCATAGAGGTCACCTGTGTCAAGCTACTGATTCCAAGTGCTAGGCATCCCATTCCTGATGTTTTTGCACGGGGCTTTTTAACTAACTGAAATGATTACGTTCCTTTCTTTTGAAGCCCAATTACACCACGTTTCACTCACCTGAAGGAAACAGAGCCCAGCACCACTGGCTATAAACAAACATGCTTTCTTCGCACACTTAATAGCTGACTCCCTAGTAGGTTATGTTATGTGGCTTTCTCTCTGCAGCTGTCTTTTTCATTGGTCTGACAAAATGCAGAGAAGTGGATTTGAGTTAAACACCCAACTGGTGTTCAATGAAAAGGAGGCCATAAGGTTATTCACTGGGATGGTGCGAGGAACAAGCAGATGTGATCGTGCGCCCGGCACAAGCGCTGGTGAGGCCCTTTTGTTACATCACCCCGGGGCGCGACCTGGGCACGCTCGTTTCCGTTGGGAGTTGTGAAGCAGTTTGGGGTTCTAACTGTTCAGGAGTGCAGAAGCGGCGAGCTCAACGGCAGCGCCCCGAACACAGACTCCCCGTTACATTCTCACAAACCAAGACCACTGCAGGCTCCTCCTGAAAGTGTTCCAGAATGTCCCGACGAATGGGCCCCGTCGGGAGAACCTGCTGCGCGGCCGGCCGAGGCTCTGCCCCCGACCCGGGGCGCTGGGAGTCCGCCGTAACCGCCCTGTGGGCCGCCGCGGGCGCAAGCAGACGGCAATGGGGCGGCGTGCGCTGTCCCCCGCGCCCCCCGCGGCGGCCCAGCGGGGCGGACTAGCGAACCGAGGCCGCGGCGCAAGCCGCGTGTGCTCACCTCTACCTGTCTGCGCAGGTGGGCCGCCGCCGCGCTCAGGCTCGCCGCGGTCGAGGCCGGAGCAAGGTGCGGAAGAGTGGCTCGCGCCAAAGAGCCACACCGCGCCGGGAGTGAGCCCACCGCACCCGCCGCAGCGCCAC